AGCCCGATGCGGGACTCGATTCCGGGACTCCAGGATCATGACCTGAGCCGAGGGCAGTCGCTTAACCAACTGAGCCACCCAGGCGCCCAAAATATTTTATTTTTAAGTAATCTCTACACCCAAGGTGGGGCTCGAACTTACAACCCGCAGATCGAGTCACACGCTCATCAACCGACTGAGCAGCCAGGCGCCCCATAACAAAGCTAAAACTTAAATTTCCTGTCCTCGACCCCCACCTTCACCTGGAAAACCTGCAGACACGCACCAGGACCCTGGATCACTTACCACGTCTTGACCGTGCAGAATGAATTGCCTCCCAACTCCACACCCAAATGCAGTCCCTGACAGCACTGACCTCCAGATATCCCCCAGGAGCGGACCACAGGACTGCCAGAAGGTCAGGAAACGCCCCCCAGTCACTGACACAGCCCAGGCTACGCTGGCTGCCGGTATGTTTCCCAGGGAGTGTGATTTCCACAGGACCCCGAATAATTCCCAACATGGGGTTCCAACTGATGCACCCCAACAGGAAATCATCATCATCTGTTCAACTGCCAAGTACTGACCATGTCCACAGGGAGCTAAGGAGGGGCCTCAAAACCCCCATAACTGACCACCCAGACCTGCAGTCCATCGGCTCCCGTATGCTACCCTTAGCACCCCACTGATTTCTGTAGGTCCCCAAACACTGCTCCCCGATGTTACAAGGGGACCCTCAAAGTCCTCCGACCCCTGAAGCTCCTGCTCCCAATCACGGCCGCCAGTCACTCCGCCAACGTCCCCAGTACCGTCTACTAAGGCCCGCTCCAGAAGCATGTTCGCCGTCCTCAAGTGAGCAAGTTTCAAGGACCAACAATACAAAATTCGATACTAAAACACACTTGGGGGGCGCCTGGGTGGCTCAGTTGGTTGAGCGTCTGACTTCGACTCGGGTCAAGATCTCAGGGTAATGGGATCGAGCCCCGAGATGGGCTCCCTGCTCAGCGGGGAGTCTACTTCCCCCTCTGCCCCCTGCTCCTGCTCTCTCTCTCAAATAAAATAAATTTTAGAATCTTACACACACACTTAAGAGTTTAAATCCCCAGAATACTTACACACATACAGGAAACACGCAAAGCCTGAAAATGACCGAGCCAATCACCCGACTCGGACTAGAAAACGCCACTCGTCTCACAGCACCCCTTCACTGAGGACCCCGTCACTCACTCCGCAGACCCTCGTCATTCGTCCCCCGAGCCCCTCACACTCACCCCAAGCCGAGTTCCCCTCACAGACCCCACAGGATCTCCACTGCTAATGTCCCAAACACCTCAGCCTCCCACACGGGCGATAGATAGCTCAGAAGTAGTTAACAACCTAAGCGAAATGGCCGCGCTGGGCCACTTCCGGTCTGGGTTAGATTCCCGACCCGGCTTCTCAGCGCGCCGGGAGTGAACGGTGCGCATGCTCGGTAGAAGCTGTGACGCCACACTCTGCCAATAGTTATCATGGCGACTTACCGATTCCAGGTATTTTGTCCCTTCTTCGCTACCACGACTCACCCTGTAAGGAGAGGCTAATGGGAGCTCAGCGGGTGTTGAGCCTGGCAATCAAGCCCCTCTCCACCACCAGACTCCCCCGAAAGCAGCTCCAACCGCAGGCTCTGACGACTGGGTAGGCTGTGGGCTTGCCTCTCCAGGGTCCTGCTCAGCGGGGCAGGGGTTGCTGACAATCAGGCAGACCAAACCCAGGGATTGGCCCTTCAGAACTGATAGGAGCCACTCCCCAGTGCTTTGCAGGTGAGAGAAGAGACAAAGCCAGACCCAGTGTTCGGAGGTAGTTTATTTATAAGTTCTGCAGCCATTTACTGCAGTAGGTATGATGTGGGGAACAAAGGCAGAAGAAAAATTATTAAATTTCCTGACTACCTACAGCCCACCAAGTCCTTGAAACAGGCAGAGTGACATTCCTCTAGGGACTCAACTGCCTGGATGTTAATACTTTGCTAAGGGCAAAAGGCAACCTCAGCCCGACCCCCAGAATTCTGTAAGTCTACTTTAACATACAAAAATTCCTTTAGAAATTTCCTTTATCTCTAAACCCCCCAAGATACGTGTTGGCAATCATCCCCTAAGCATATGGCCCACTGATACACATCTGAAGGGTCTCAGGACTAAAGTTCTATTAGACGTAATAAATGACCTTTTCCCAACAATAGCTAGCCCCCTCAAGGTCCTGGAAACCTTGCTTCCAAAATACCTGGGAGCCTTACGCTATCCCTAACCCCCTCCCAACTTGAAAGTATATTGTGGACCACTCTTCATGACCCCAGGGCACCTCTTACTGCCCACGGGTCCTGTCCCTGTGCTTTAATAAAATAAACCCACCTTTTTGCACAAAGACTTTTCAAGAATTCTTTCTTGGCTGTTGGCTTCAAACCCTAACGTCTTTACTACAGCAGATATAATGGTTAAGCACAAAGATTCTGGAGCTGGACTGCCTGGGTTTAAAGCCAGATGTTCAAGTTTGGGCCAGTTAGTTAACCTCTCCGTACTTCAATTTCCTGTTTCATGAAGTTGTGAGGATTAAATAATTAAATTATCATAGGCAAAATGTTTAAAACAGTGCTGTTACATAATGAGCTGTTACATGAGAAAAATATTCTATTTCATTCATTCAACAAATACTAGGTTCCTATGGTATGCCCAAGAAAAATTGTTTAAGGTCATTTTTTAACTGAACTAACGTGAGTTCCCTCCTTGATGAGTCACAGAAACTGATGTGATCTGAAGTGGGGTTCAAGAGCGGAAGGTCAAGAAGGAATTCTTGAGAGGTTTTCGCTGCAAAAAAAAAAAAGGGGTGGTTTTACTAAAGCATGGAGACAGGACCCAAGGGCAGAAAGAGCTGCACTGGGATTGTTAAGGAGCAATTGATTATATCCTTTGGAGTTGGGGGAGGTAAAGACAAAGGAAGTTTCCAAAAGGATTTTCATATGCATGCTAAAAAAGACAGGATCCTGGAGGCCTGACTATTGCCAAGCTAAGGTTGTTTTTTTCCCTCTAGCAAGGCATTAACATTAAGACAGTTGGGAGTTCCTGGAGGGAGGCCGTATTCTGCCTACCTCAAGTATTTGTCAATGGGCTGCAAGTTATAAGGAATTTAATTGTATCTACATTTCCTTTTGCCTTTGTTCTCCATGTCAGAAACTACACCACGTGGAGTTGTCACACAAAGAAACTTTCTTCGCAGCAAATAAAGAGATCACAGGGCATAACTTCCAAAGCTGTGATTCCCCAGCAGGGGTGAATAGGTCCCTTTTACTCAGAGTTAGGATGAATATTTTAAAAGGAGAGTCTTATGGGGTGCCTGGGTGGGCTCAGTCAGTTAAGAGTCGGACTTTTGATTTTGGCTCTGGTCATGATCTCAGTGTCGTGAGATTGAGCCCCGCGAAGTCCTTCCCCTGCCCTCCCTCTCTCTCTCAAATAGGTAAATAAATCTTTGAAAAAAAAAGTCTATTTTTCCATCCACAGCATTGCAAATGGCAAGATTTCAATTTTTGATGGCTGCATAATATTCCATTATATATATATCACATCTTCTTTACCCATTCATCTGTCAATGACATCTAGGCTCTTTCCATAGTTTGGTTATTGTGGACATTGCTGCTATAAACATTGGGTTGCAGGTGCCTATTCGGATTACTACATTTGTATCTTTTTTTTTTTTTGCATTTAAAAAAATTTTTATTTTATTATGTTATATTAGTCACCATACATTACATCATTAGTTT